AGCAAGCAGCCAGTCCTTTATTGAAGAAAGACGACAGAAGGAGTTTCATGTGTCGGAAGGCACTGACTGTTCGCTTTGTTTACATCTTCATAGGAGAAGCGTAATATGTATTTATTTCGACCTGTTACTTTTACAGTCCCTGCAATCTTCTGGTAGGATCAATAAATTCAACAACAGCCAAAAGTGTTAAAATTGTTCACGCATTTGAGTCGTGCTACGTACTTAAGGTGTCAAATGCCGGAAATTTCTTTTTCGCTTGATGCGTAGAGAGGTTGGTTATATTAAAGCCTCTTTGATTCGCATAAAAAATTCAAAATTTCTATGCAGTATCTATATTTTCTAATTTATATTTTTTCTTCTCTTTTCAAAACATCTGCAATATATATCCAAAGTTGTGTATAACGTAAGGAACATAGTATGCACAGAAGATAGTTACATATGCCGCGAGGGCCAATATCTAATTTGCATGAATATCATATAAAGCCTCAATACTAAATAGCATGATAATTATTATCGATTCCTTCCAGTTAGTTGGCAAGATCGATGTTTAGCGGCTTTAGATCTGGTGTATTTGTTGGTCTATTTTTCATTTTCACAGTTTCGCATCAATCTAAAGGTAGGTCAAATTGTGGAGAATCAAACTAAATATGAATTGTTAGAGACAATGAACAATGTCGCATTAATCAAGAGATGAATTGTGAGAGATCTTCGGCTTGCTACATAATATTCTGGTGTGATTGCACTGTGAATACTTTACGCCAATTGTGTTAAACTATTCCATCAGAGTTTTTTTATCGGGGATATTTAGCTGTGAAACTTTCAGCGATGATAGAGGGGCTTTAAGTGAAAGTCGGTACTCTCAGCATAAAGATCAACAAGGCAAAAGAAGGAAAACTTCGATGCTGTAATACAAATCTATCGAAGGATGGGGTCTTCGAATTGTGTGGCCCATGATGACTTCCGGTTTCACTTTCGCTATTCGCGTTAGATCCATGCAGATCTAATTCCAGATTTATTCATGTTATCCCCGGGTAAATGGATGATAAATGATACGAGCTTCGTGATGAAAGCTTCGAAATATAGGCAACAGCATTCGTTTTATTTCACTCAAACTACACATAGTGTTCACGCACGTGTCTTCGAATGCGGAAACCATGAATCTCTTAATGATATTAGACAATTTGATGCATATTAATACACCTTCGAACCAATTTTTGCGTGGAATTTTGAGTGTTACCACAACTATCTATAAAAACCGCTTATTTTCATTTAGTTTAAAGAAACAATATGAGGCATGTTCAAGCTTAGAAGTTGAAAGTAGTCAGCGTCCAGTAATTTTGTTTGCCATATTAACTAGAACTAGAATTACAAATTATAGGTGAAATGTTGCGAGTGAATAAACGAAGTGCCTTTATTTTCTCGCAGTCAGGGTAGTCTTCACTCTTCAGGATAGTATTGGCACTTGATCTTGTTTATATTATGGTAAACGTATGCAATTATATATCGTACTGATGAGAATTCTCTCACGAGTTGAGATCGCACATAAGTGCTAATATGTAGCATTACGCGATTTCAAATTACATAAATAATTTCCCCAGCTAGCCAGACCTAAGCCTATAATATGAATTTCGATAGCTATTATTTCCTGTTACTTTATAATTATCCGAAAGCAAATATATAGTCATTAAAAACGTGAGGTGAATATCACCTGTTTTTGGGTTACATTAAGAGCAGGTCGCAACTGCTTAGTCTTGTATCCTGATCATTTTTCATTGTATTCCGTACAAAGTTTATAAGAACGTTTTTGCAAGGTTTGCGAAATGACAGTTAGGCTAAATTGCTGACGACCTTATTTAAACATAAACTTTTTGTCTTTTGTGCATGAGCATAACTAACGAAACCATCCAACCTTTGTTCGATTAGAATACCCAGTTGTAATTCCTAATCCTCAGGCGGAAAATCCAAAACGTCAAAAGACTACCACAAATTCGTAGTATTTCTTTTACGAAAAACTAGTTGAGAAAAAGAAAAACTAATCGAGAAGTTCCATTCTTTGATTTTATCTTTTTCAGCAACGTCACTTCGGTTAAAGGGCAATTTGAGAGAAAATGGTATTGGTCGTGTTGAGATACTCCACAATGGAACCTGGGGAACAATCTGTCATGATAGATGGGATGCGCAAGATGCCTGGGTTGCCTGTCGTCAACTTGGTTTTCTTGATATCAAAGCTCTTCAAGGTGGCGGCGATGTTCCTTCAGGTTCAGGAGAAATATGGTTAGATCAGGTCGATTGTACTGGAAGTGAGAGTAATATAGCAGGATGTTCACACGATGGATGGGGAAATCATGACTGCTCGCATTCGGAAGACGCAGGAGTAGAATGTAGTGCACCAGGTAAGGCCAAGGTAAAAAAGTCAGGAAAAAAAATACGATTCGCGTAGTTTCGCTCGTGTCATTTTGCTCTTTACACGTTTATTTGCACTGTTTTTATTGCACAACAATCTCCCTCCTGAAATTGTTAAACGAGAAACAACGAAGGACTTTTTAGTGTACGGCATTTTACAGCATTGATGGTCGTGTGGGAAAAATAGAATGAGTAAAACTAATTAAAGCGGTTGTAAATCCGTCTGTCTGAGAGCGGACTTGGGCGGACTGACTAAATTCTTTGTTACCTCACATATCACTAGCAGTTGAATATCGTTAATAGAATATTTTATTGCGTAGCTAATGATAACATAAGACACGTGGAGTAATTTCTGTAGGCTGAAAATAAATATCAATGACCAAAATTAATACGTATACTCAGATACTCTATGATACTCTTACGCAGTGCATGGGCAACTCAGATTACAAGGACCATCGAGCGGAAATGGAATAGGTCGTGTTGACGTTTTCTACAACGGAGAATGGGGAACAGTCTGTGATGATTCCTGGGATATTGAAGATGCCAGGGTTGTATGTCGTCAACTTGGTTATTCAGATGTTGTCAAAGTTCTTACAGGAAGCCAGGTCCCATCTGGTTCTGGACAAATATGGTTAGATGACGTTGATTGTTCAGGAAGAGAACAGAACATAGCAAGCTGTTCACATCCTGGATGGGGAAGACATAATTGTGGTCATTCCGAAGATGCCGGAGTGGAATGTGTAACACCAGGTAAAACAACAGCGAAAACGAAATATATTTTGACGTACCCTTAAAAATACTGTTGATGTCACTTTACCATTTCGATAAAAAACAAAATCATGCATGCTTCTGCATTGGCTAACATTTCGGCAAAAAATTACAACCATTTCAATATCTTAGATAATTTCTTTCCTGTTAATTTCTTTCATGTTCTACGTTATTGCATCGCCATGCCTGTATACAGGAAATAAATCTGACAAATCTGTAACAGTCTACATTTGGATGATGTTTTAGAATTACATTTGGCTATCAGGGGCGGCGGAACGAATATATTTTGGGGGGGCTAATTTCATGAGCGCCGAGCGAAATTTTTTTGGAATTTCAATGCTCTAGATCTTCGGAAATGGCCATTTCAGAGTCTTAATTCCCTCTTTCACCGTAGTTTTTCATGGGCAAACACAAACTGAAAACGGCACAACGCTTGTAGTGATATCTTCTAGATTTGAAAAATCATCTCTCAAATTCTCAAAATAATTTCCAAACAAAATGACGGTCCGAAAATAACATTATACAACCACAAATATTCTGCTGTTAAAGACAACTATGAAAGATCAAAGAAAGTCAATTTACATTCACTTTATCAGTATCACAATATAAAATATCTTATTAGCATTTAATACGCCGGCGAGCATTAATTTAATGTCTTCGTGGTATGACGTAGTTAGTGCTCTCCCATTCTGGCATTCTCCCTGAAATTTTTGGGGAGGCTAAGCCCCCACTTTGACTTCTTGGGGGGCGAAAGCCCCCTAGCCCCCCTTGTTCCGCCGCCCCTGTTGGCTATGACTTTTGGAAAATTTAACTTTACATCTTTTTCGCTGATCATTGATCAGCTGTACGTACGAAAGTTGTACGATTTTTTTATGCAAATAATAAACAAATAATCGGCGGCTCGTCGAATTATGGCAAAATTTTCAAACATTACGAGTACTATTTTAAATTAACCCCGATTTGTACTCGCCTTCGCATTATTGCCTATACTAATTGTACTCAACCCGTACTCTTGCTCTACCATGTAAAAGGCGCTCATGGATAAGTTTATATCCCCTACTCTATGTATAGGACGTACGCTCAAATTCTTATTAACATTACTGCACAGGCTCTGGACTACTCAGGTTGCAAGGACCGCTGAGTGAAAACGGAAAGGGACGTGTTGAAATTTACCACAATGGAAAATGGGGAACAATTTGCGATGACGGATGGACTGTGGAAAATGCGAGAGTTGTATGTCGTCAACTTGGCTATCCGGATGTCCGAGCTCTTTTGGGGAGCGAGGTACCTTCTGGTTCTGGACAAATATGGTTAGACGAGGTCCGTTGTACAGGAAAGGAGCAAAATATAGAAAGTTGTCCACATAGAGGATGGGGTGAAGAAAACTGTGCACATCACGAAGACGCTGGAGTAGAATGTCGTGCACCAGGTAAGGGTGTAGGGAAATCTATAAGCAAAATCTGTTTAGAAAAATATTCCAACTCTTTCCAAATGATGAAAAAGATTCAATATCTTATGTAACGAATAAAAGGGTTTGAGAGTGTTTTGTGTGTATAGTGAAAAAGAAGTTGAGCCTGCATTTTTGTACATCCTAACTATTGGCTCTGCTGGAGTTTGGTTTTCTCTGTTGGGCGTTTCTCCAATTAACACTGGGAAATACTCAATAAACTTTCCAATTTTAATGTTAAATAGAAAATGCTTTTTTTGCTTATATCTTCAATACATGCTCATGCGTATATACTCATTGATATTCTTGTCCAGAACACGGGTCACTCAGATTGTTAGGACCATTGAGTCCCATGGGATAGGTCGTGTCGACATCTTCAACAAAGGAAAATGGGGGACAATCTGTTTTGATGGATGGGACTTCAAAGACGCCAGGGTTGCATGTCGTGAACTTGGGTATACAGATGCTGTCAGACCTCTTAGGCGGTTGTTCCTGGTTCCTTTCGGTTCTGGACCTGTATGGTTGGCTCATGTCGATTGTAATGGGAAGGAAACAAATATAAAGAGTTGTTCTCATCTTGACTGGGGAAGTCACGTTTGCCCACATTCTGAAGATGCTGGAGTGGAATGTACCACGAAAGGTAAGACAATAACAGAAAATAATTCCTTTAGATGATCTTAAAAGAACGTCTGACTTCAAGGTAATGAGCTCTTGCTTTTAAACGTTGAAATCCTTCAAATATTTTTAGATTTGACTTTTCAATGGCTTAAAAAACTCGAATGGCGAACATTTCGGCTTGAAACCTACTTAACATACCAATTTTATCTTGAACACATTTTTGCTATTGGTAATCTCCTAATACCTTTCCTTTTCTTTTTCGTAATGAGAAAAAGAATGAAAACTGCATTAAATACCGTACCAATTATTCTTAAACGCCTTTTCTATTAATCAGTCTATAAAATTATAATGAAATTTGAGCCAGTGTAGCTTGATGTGCCAGCCAGTACTCCATCCCAATTCGTGTCCTAAAGCTAGCTAAAACCATAATAACTTTGAATGTATTACTCGAAACATTTCAGTTTCATATGACTTCGCACTGGCAAAGGCATTCTCTAGCTCGAGTTTATAGCCAACTCGACAACTTATATTCAGGCGTTCTTTCCAGTTTTTGAAGGTAAATCTGGATCATTGAGGATACGGGGACCCATGAGTGCAAATGGAACAGGTCGCGTTGAAATACTTCATGATGAACAATGGGGGACAATCTGTGATCATGGATGGCGTATGAAAGACGCTAGGGTTGCTTGTCGTCAGCTTGGTTATCCAGATGCTGTCAGATCACTTCATGGGAACGAGGTTCCTTCTGGTTCAGGGCGGATATGGTTAGCTCATGTAGCTTGCAATGGAAACGAGACAAATATCACAAGTTGTTCTCATCATGGTTGGGGAAATCATTATTGTACACATTCCGAAGATGCTGGAATAGAATGTAGTAACACCGGTAAAACATGCAATTATTCGAATAATCTCAGTATCATATGAGTTAAAACTTACAAAAAGAAACTTTTCATTTCGAATTATTTGGTCGACTCGACAACTTAAACTCAGACTTTCTTTCAAGTTTTTGCAGGTAAGCCTGGATCACTGAGAATACAAGGTCCCATGAGCGTAAATGGAACAGGTCGCGTTGAAATACTTCATGATGGACAATGGGGGACAATCTGTGATCATGGATGGCGTATAAAAGACGCTAGGGTTGCATGTCGTCAGCTTGGTTATCCAGATGTTGTCAGATCACTTCATGGAAACGAGGTTCCTACTGGTTCCGGACGTATATGGTTAGCTCATGTCGCTTGCAATGGAAAAGAACCAAATATCACAAGTTGTTCTCATCATGGTTGGGGAAATCATTTTTGTACACATTCCGAAGATGCTGGGATAGAATGTAGTAACACTGGTAAAGCTTGCAATTACGAATTATAACTGACAAAAGGAAACTTTCCAGTTCGAATTCTTTATTCAACCTGACGAGGACTTATTTTCCGACACTCTTTCCAGTTTTTGCAGGTAAGCCTGGATCATTGAGAATACGAGGTCCCATGAGTGCAAATGGAACAGGTCGCGTTGAAATACTTCATGATGGACAATGGGGGACAATCTGTGATCATGGGTGGCGTGTGGAAGACGCTAGAGTTGCTTGTCGTCAGCTTGGTTACCCAGATGCTGTCAGATCCCTTCATGGGAACGAGGTTCCTTCTGGTTCAGGACGGATATGGTTAGCTCAAGTAGCTTGTAATGGCAAAGAGCCAAATATCACAAGTTGTGCTCATCATGGTTGGGATAATCATTTTTGTAAACATTCCGAAGATGCTGGAGTAGAATGTAGTAAAAAAGGTAAATATGCAGAACAAAGTCTTAAGATGACAAAAAAAAGAGGCAGAGGAAGATGTCACTTTCCTCAGTTATAGACTTTGTCTATATTATAGACTTTGTCTATGTTATAGACTTTGTCTATGTTTGTGTAATACAACAATCCTTTGTTACACATAACCAAAAGTACATAATTTGGGTACTTTTTGCTACAGACAGCTTGTCATTTTGTGAAAACAATCTCCTGCCAAGTTAAAAGATGTCTAAGTTTCCTAAAACTTAGTTTAAATGGTCTGCACAGCAGCTGACTGGCTATACTGCTGTTACCATGAATTAACAATTTAGCATTACTTTCTAGCGACAGGAATTCCAACGACTAGAAGTACCAAGAAATCTGGAGGTGGGAAAAGTCTATTATTTTAGTGTCTAAATTGATTTCTGCAAATGTAATTTTGGCTATACAGTAGAGCAAGGCTCTTGCTTTCGTAACTAGAGAAAAAAGTGATAATATTTCCTTCAAGTTGCATCCGTGACATTTGCTAAGAGCAGCTGCAGACGCAACATTTTTTGTACAATAACGATTTCATGTATTCTCTATATACACCTAAGCTTGCAATGTGGTCTTTGCGCTCAGAGTTTCAGTTTTAACAATTAGGGGTAAACTTGTTTGAATTAGGCATATACACAATAGCACAAGCTGTCCCCACAAGGTGATCCTGTTAGTGTTATTTTCTATTTCTCCCCAGTGATATCTATACTTTTCTCATTTTCGCATCAATTTGTCCCATTTTTTTTCAAGATCCTTTGCGGTCTATTAGGAAAGTAGGATGTTACTGGCACTCTCGAGTATCGTTTATTTATACACTATCGCTTATATGTTTCCAAAAAAACACCAGAAACAAAATAGGTTCACCTGATTACTAGTAATTCAACCATTTTATCAATTTGCATCCGTCCTATATACAAATACTTTATAAAATAATATAACAAATGTCTTTCTCAACTCTTAGGAAAAGCCTCCTTTAGGAATTTGATTTATGGAACCGAATGGTATATCGTCTTGTTCTTTGTCGGGTTAGGAATTTGCATTGGAACTTTCATTTGTGGCGTTGTGTTGTGTTTTCAACGTCGTCGGGTAAGAAAGAGAAGATCTGAAGAAGAAAACCCTGCACAACAAACAAGTGATGTTGATTCGACATATGAAGAAGTAAATCTTTCAAAACTGATAGCGACGAAAAGTTGTGAGCCTAGTGGGACTGCAGACGACGAAGATGAATCAGCTTATGAAAATTTAAGTTTGAAAGCAGATGAACGTGCACAAGAAAATTATTATTATAATAATTAAAAAGATACTTAAATAGCCTATTGATTTTTGGCTTTATATAACTATTTTAGGGCCAGAAAGAAGGCGCTTAAGAGACGCTTCAATTAATTATTATGCAAGGCATCTTAAATAGCTATTATTCTAGTCCACAACATGCATATATTAAGAAAACTGTACTTTACTAAATACTCTGTTTTTTATACATAATGCAATTTGGTAATAACAAGAACACTTTCCAAACACAATGTGTGACTTCAAATTAATGACAAATAACTGTATGCGATTACTAAGGAGAAATATAATAATTATATCGTTTTTCTCGCGGAATCACGCGAGGTGTTATTTCCATAGGTCTGCAAACTGTGTTAATCTGTTGCCCAACAGGATGAAAATAAGTTTAATGTAAAAGTAAAAACATGATTTCAAAGCTGAAAAACGAGCATGCATGCATTGGACTCATGGTATATACATGAGGTTTCGATTCCCGGAAATTCCCTTTTCCGGAGAGCTGAATTTGCTACTGATTTTATAGTCTTCATGAGCATGCAAGTACTTTTATTCATGTACGACCATGTATCGCTCTCACTGTTATCAATTTTCACCTCAAACGGCAATGAAAAGTAATCCGGTGTAGCGCAAACCATGCCCAATTTAAAGTGTCGATCCATCTAAATGAGATATAGAAAGGACGTACGCACTTTTTCTAACGAAAATGGAAGAGTGCCAAGCAGCGCGGCAGGCCAATATCCATTTTGACGAATTGTATAAAAGCGAAAAAACCCCACTGTGGGAAAAAAACCAACTTAGCAGGATGTTAGCTAACTTCGTCTTTGGACTCCATAGAAAGGCTTTTCAATAGCTTAGTCATGCCTTGTGAATGGAGTATCTACTAATTTAATTAGTTTAGTAAATTAGTTTTTATTTTAGCCCAATCGAATCAACAAACTAAAGACTTTCAAATTACCCATTTCTACTTATTGTCTATATAATTCGAACCATATAATTATATCAAAGTGTGTATCTAAAATCTGTTTTTTTTTCTTTAACGTTCAAACGTTTACTCTTTTGTGTACAGAAAGTAGAAATAGATTCTAACGCGAACTTTTGCAGCAAAGTCAATTAGGTTACAAGGACCATCGTGTGCAAATGGAACAGGTCGTGTACAGGTATTCTACAAAAGAGAATGGGGGACAGTGTGTGATGACGAATGGGATATAAACGATGCTAGGGTTGCATGTCGTCAACTTGGTTATTCAAATGCTCCCCACGGGTATCAGGTTCCTTCTGGTTCTGGACGAATATGGTTGGACGAGGTCGCTTGTACAGAGAGCAAACTATAACATGTTGTTTACACGGTGAATGGGGTAATCATGATTGCTCACATTTCGAGGACGCTGGTGTAGAATGCAGTAGAACAGGTTTGAAAAAAATAATATATGGCTAGATTTATTCGTACAAAGGAACCTTTCCTTTCACTCAACAGATTTAATTATCCTTTTATCCTTTTATATTTATCCTTTAATCATTAAACATAATAACGATTATTACAAAGTTTGCCAATTACGCCTGGAAACGTTTTTATTTCGCTGTGCACTTCTGTAGAGGTAACAACAACCGATCTTTTGATCGTTCTAGTATGAATAGCAATTTAACTTTCATTTCCAGGAATCTGAACACAAATCATTCCAAGTACTGAGAGACCTGGTGCAGGTAACTTGCCTTTTTTTCTGTATGGATATGGACGATATTAGTAAGAAATTGAGTTATTCTAATCTGTGCAGCTCACGTTGTATTTTTAAATCAAATAAAAATGTAGCTACAATCTTGTGCTAAAGTATTTTCGTTAAATATAAAGGCCAGCAAACTTTCTTTTAGCCGTTGCATACTGCACGCCTGTTGTTCTCTTCAAGATGTCCTATAAAGGCTATGCCTTATCAAGGCTGTTGCAACTTGATTCCTGTACTAGCCTGTCTTAGCTTTGTCGTCGTTGGCTGAGAACAAACAAATGTGAAGAAAAGTTTCCCCTGCGAAGAGCTCATGTTGACACGAATGTGACATACGTGGAGCCGAATATTATACTGAAAGCAATTACGAGGTTCCATATGAGATCACTGAGGACGAAAATGCGTCATCTTATACGGAGTTGAATGCAATCCGAGATTTTGGAAAAAATTATTAAAGTCTAATTAAGTAACAATAATTACACATAATAAGCTCCATGATTGCTATAATGGTTTCATCGGCTTTGATTAAGCAAATTGTGGGCCAACACTTCGCATAATGCTATGTTTTGAGAAAAAACGATGATCGCGTGCATGAAGCAATAACCGATATGCTTTATAGCAAAACGCAAGAAGGTGCTTCATGTCATAGCTTATATATTTTTTTCAAATAATTACCACCTGAATTAAACCATGTGTGTTGCTTCAAATAATCCAGACCCGACTTTTTTTACCCCTCTCTCTCAAATATTTCACCATTGAGAGAGATGATCGACATTAATTTAGCTTGAAAAGCAGGTGTAAATGTGAAAATAGCCCATGCGTGCATTTTATAATAGTACATCCATGAGGTTTTGAGTGGCGGAAATTTCACTTTTCATACGGAAGCATACAGTACAAGTTTCGAAGCAGTATTTACTCTTGATTTTTATTTCATTTTGGTGCAATATTTTGAAAACATCCTATTAACAGTGCGGATCCAACTGAAAGAGGAAACGCAAGCTCTTTCAACCGAGGGGATAAAGTGTGTCAGTGTGGCAAGATGGTAAGCAGCTTCCTTGATAGATCTGGGATATTTGTTGGGCTGATTTTTGTCTTCACTGTCTGGTACCAATGCAAAGGTAGGTCGTAATTTGAATTGTGAGAAATTTCATGTTTAACTTTTAAACAAACGAGCTTTGTGTTTGAAAGAGCTACGATCCATGAATTATAGTCTAATTCTACTATTTGGTACAGGCTTACAGCATATAGAACTGGTGATATGTTTAGTAATGCTCATGCAAACGGATATAAGTGCTCACCGGGTGGTCTGGGCATTATATTACTTATACGTATAATTGTCTTAAAAGAACCCAAAAAGTTTCTTAAATCAATTAAATCAAAGTTCAAAAGATTTTATTTTACGATATAAACCGTCAAAATCAGTACCAGACGAAGGGGTCGCGAAGGTGTTCAAAGATTGGAAGAAGAAAGATTGACAAATAGCGATTTAATAAAACGGCATATTAAAAGTACAACTGGATTTATTGGAGAATGCATTTTGATTCATCTATTGCAAAATGCGTTCTAAAGAATTAATTAATTTTTTGTTCCTACATCGATGAATAATGATCTTGTAAATGACCTAATTAAAGCCGTTATTAGGTTGTGCGTCTACAAACTGATATAAATTATGCATTTGTTTGCCATAGAAATTTACAAGATACATTATGAATATTATGTCAATGTTGTACAAACGCATAACAGTGGTTATACGTTTTTCATAAACTGACATAAGTTATTTTTCCGCAGAGAAGCTGAGATCACTCAGATTACAGGGACCATTCAGTTCGAATGGGAAAGGTCGTGTTGAAATATTCCACAATGGTCAATGGGGGACAATCTGTGATGATAAATGGAGCATCGAAGGTGCTAGAGTTGCATGTCGCCAACTTGGTTATTCAGATGCTGTCACAACTATTACTGGAAGTCTTGTCCCTTCTGGTTCTGGACAAATATGGTTAGATGAGGTCGCTTGCACAGGAAATGAGAAAAATATAGAAAGTTGTTCACACAATGAATGGGGAAGCCATGATTGCTCACATTCTGAAGACGCTGGAGTAGAATGCACACTAGGTAACACAAAACCAGAAGCTCGTGTGTTAATGTTTTTGTAAAAATGCTATTAGCAACACTGCTGACCATTTCATAAGAAAAAAGCATGAATTTTGCAGGGCACCGTTCGAGGGTAATAAATCCCGTACAAAAAATTAAATACCTATACGAAATTGCTATTAAAAAAAAACTAGTCTAAATTAAGACACGATAAGAAAGAGTAATGGTCTAATATACCTTGAATATGATATATTCAACCTTGGCATGGTCGAATATACCGGAATTCAAGCTTGGGTATGGTATACACCATATTCCTGTATATTGGTCCATGGTCGAGTATATCATATCACTAGACCATGGACCAATATACAGGAATATGGTGCATACGAAGTATATTCGACCATGACTCGACCATGGTCGAGTATACCATACTCCGGTATATTCCGAATTTAATGTAAGGTACCGAAACATGGTATATTCGTAATGCCGAAAAATGGTCAACATTCGACCATGGTCGAATGTACCGGAATATAGTATATTCAACCTTGATAAGGTCCAATATACCGGAATATGGTATATTCGTCATTTGCATGATCGGATATACCGAAATGTAGACCCCATAGAGGTGTTGAAGTATGGTTCAAAACATCGCATCAATCGGCTAAAATGCTGGGTCCGCCCAGCTGCATTTCTCAGCGCTTACCGTCCGGCATTTCTGGCCATGACGTGTGTTAATGTTTTCGTAAAAAATCGTAAAAATATTATTAGCATGCATTACTGCAAACTATAAACACCATACTATACCACAGTAGTAATGACAAATCTGTAAGAATTAGTTATCTGTACGCTTCAAACCATAGGAATAGGAGAAAATAGTACAATGAATAATAAGATATAAAGTCACCCTAAGCAAGTCAATTTACTTCCAGCCGCCGTTCGTGAATTAGAAACGGCGCTAGCTTTAAGCTCTCGTTAATCTCATACGTATATACTCCTTGAAAATTTTACGCAGAGTCAGGAAAACTCAAGTTGGAAGGGCCAATGAGTGCAAATGGAAAAGGTCGTGTTGAGATTTTCCACGAAGGACAATGGGGAACGATTTGTGATGATAATTGGGATATAGAAGATGCCAGGGTTGCATGTCGTCAGCTTGGCTATAAGGATGATCTCCGAGCTCTCCAAGGGTATCAGGTTCCTTCCGGCGCTGGACGAATATGGTTGGACGAGGTCGCTTGTTCAGGAAGAGAGCAAACTATAGCAAGTTGTCCTCACAGTGAGTGGGGTAGTCATGATTGCTCACATTCCGAGGACGCTGGTGTTCAATGTCCTACAACAGGTGAAAACTGCAGGTGTAGATGTACTGGTGAAGAATCTTCATCAGAAATTTTAAAATTTACTCGATTGAAAAAAAAAGAGCAGAAACCAATTTTGAAACAAATTGCCTCACATAATTTACCGTTCTTTCGCAATGCATCCAAATTGCCCCCTTTTGTAGTTTTATAATTACGCATTCAAGCAATTATTTCGCATTTTCCTGTTGGATCAAGCTTTTGCATGCAGTAACTCTTTTAGTTTGATATTTTTTCAATTTGTACAGGTGAATCTGGGGCAGTCAGATTACGAGGGTCATTGACTGCACAAGGTACTGGTCGTGTCGAAGTATTTCATAAAGGACAATGGGGAACAATCTGCGATGATCGATGGGATTTAAGAGATGCCTGGGTTGTATGTAGTCAACTTGGTTATTCAGCTGCGAAGAGGGTTCTTCCGAGGAGCCAAGTTTCTCCTGGTTTGGGATACATTTGGTTAAGTAATATCGAGTGTATAGGGACAGAGAAAAACATCACAGAATGTTCTCATCGAGGCTGGGGAAACCAGGATTGCACACACAATCAAGACGCTGGCGTTGAATGCATTACAACAGGTAAAGTTGCCGCACATTGCTCATGGAAATACTCATGATGACGAATTTCTAGGCGAAGGTATTTTGTTTAAAAGGTGACCTTAATTTCCGTTATATTTTCCATATAGATGACTTTTTATTTACCGCGTTCGTAAATAACTGTATTGTGAGCACAAAAAAGTGTGATTTACTTGCATGTTTCTTCATTCTTCTTTTTGAACAAAAAAGGAATTATTGTGAGGTGTAATTAGGCATAATTACATGTTCTGCATTAAATACCTTTCTCTTACTCCTTTTCCAGTTTTCATTCTACGGCTATAGTATTATTTGCTTTAAGCTTGTGCAGTTATGTAGTAGAAAAAGATTTTGTTCTTCTAGAACAAGTCTTGCCACAGTGACCCCGGTTTGTTTTCGCAATCACTACCACTGCTTTATAGCACCGACGTTTTTTAAAGTTGTTGCAGGCAATACTGGTTCATTGAGGTTGCAAGGACCATTGAGTGCAAATGGTACGGGTCGTGTTGAAGTACTCTACAACGGACAATGGGGGACAATCTGTGACAATGGGTGGGATTTCAAAGATGCTATTGTTGCATGTCGTCAACTTGGGTACGCACATGCTATTAGTGAGCTTAAAGGCAGCCGGGTTCCCACTGGTTCTGGACGGATATGGCTAGAAAACGTTGCTTGTACGGGAGAAGAACAAAAAATAACAAGTTGTTCACATGAGGCATGGGGAAGTAATCGCTGCTCACATTACAAAGATGCTGGAGTAGATTGTTCCAACACAGGTACGGAATAGGACCTAAGATGGAAAATCAATATGCTCAGGGCTATCTAACAATACTGATAAATTTTCCTTTCCATGTTTTACTACATCAATCCCTACATCAAAAAATATATATATAGGTTTTCTGTGATTAATATACCGCTGTTTTCTTACACACTATTTCCAGTTATTGTAGGCAAGTCTGGGTCACTGAGGTTACAAGGGCCATGGAGTGCAAATGGAACAGGTCGTGTTGAAGTGCTCTACAATGGACAATGGGGAACAATCTGTGATGATGGATGGGATATAAAAGATGCCACGGTTGTATGTCGTCAACTTGGTTATTCAAATACTGTTAGAAGTCTTTCTGGCAGCCAGACCCACTCTGGTTCGGGACGTATATGGTTGGATGATGTCGCTTGTACAGGAGAAGAGCAAGACATAACAAATTGTTCGCATATAGGATGGAGAAAGCATAACTGCCACCACTCCGAAGACGCTGGAGTAGATTGTAGTATGACAGGTAAGGCAAAAACGACTTAGAAGAATAATAAATTCGTTTCTACTTGTTATAAGATACTGTTCATGTAATTTTTTTGGCATTATAAGCAGAATGATACAGTACTTCACTTTATCATCGGGACAAAGAAAACTATAAAACTTTTGTATTCTTTTTCTTCTTCTGTGAGCTTCGTGAATTCGTTTGTAATTAATTAACTGTCAGATGATATTCTTCAAAATTTAGTAGCTTGTTGACATCATCAAAATATGAATATTTATTGAGCCTTTACAAAGTACACGCGCACGAGTTCACGAAAGAGTTTCATAATGATTAAGATGTTGCGATGTTTGCTGTAGTTGTTGCAGGCAAATCTGGGTCACTGAGGATACAAGGGCCATTAAGTGCAAACGGTATTGGTCGCGTTGAAGTGCTCTATCATGGACAATGGGGGAGAATCTGCGATGATAAATGGGATATAGATGATGCCAACGTTGTATGTCGTCAACTTGGGTATCTATATGCTGTTAAAGCGCTTCAAAGCGGCACAGTCCCTTTGGGTTCTGGACGTACATTCTTTTCTCGCGTCAATTGCATCGGAACAGAGCGAAATATAACTAGTTGTTCACTTCGACAATGGGCGGAGAAACACTGCACTCATTCCGAAGACGTTGGAGTAGAATGTAGTTCAACAGGTGAGAAGCTCAGATACACAGATATTGATGCGGCATTGACCTTGACTAAAATAATTTTATATGTATTAAAAGCTTCGGAAATTTTTAAAAATGATGATAAAAGACCCATCTCTTCTCAGTTGCGTGGTTAAGTAAATAATTTTATACTGTATTTCGGTAACTCACAATAATTTATTGAAAAGAAATCCGGCAATCGTTAAAAACCCCTCAGGCCCGCAATTCACTGAAGAAAGTTTTTAAAGATCTGTATAACGTTGTATTACGTATACTGCCTACGTTTATATTTAGATATTTTAAACTTTGTACTTATGCAATTCCATCCAGTTTCCTTACTACGATTTTTTTCGATACTCTAATTTTGCTGTTTATGAATAAGAAATTAGTTGCTTAAAGCCTATGTGCTCACATTCTCATATTTTACATATTATTATTCATAATTTTCGCAGAATCCGGGACTCTCAGATTACAAGGGCCAATGAGTGCCAATGGAACAGGACGTGTTGAAATATTCCATAATAGACAATGGGGATCAGTCTGCGATAATGGATGGGATATCAAAGATGCCAGAGTTGCATGTCGTCAACTTGGCTATCCAGATGCCGCCAGATCTCTTTATAGATCTCAGGTTTCACCCGGTTCTGGACAAATATGGTTAACCGACGTCCTTTGTACTGGAAATGAACAGAATATAACAAGTTGTTCCTACGGTACTCATGGAAATCTTTCTTGCTCGCATGCCAAAGATGCTGGAGTAGAATGCAGTACAACAGGTAAAGTCATCAAAGTAATGAATGATAATGCCTGTTACAAATGAACCAATGGTATTTGCACGCACTCAGTGGACACACAGTATCGGGATCGCAATAATAGGACTTCTCTGGGTAGTGTAGACGTTTTCCATTAGTCCCAATACAAAAAACTCGTGTAAAACAGATACATATGCACACCTTTTAATAAAAGACTTTAGTCTGATGACAAACTCGTTTGCCAATGGCTAAAAAAGTACTAAATCAATGTGAAATGAGTACCGAAATCAACTTAAATCCTGCAATAACGTTTTTAAATCAGCAATTGTCTAAATGAACAGTGATGAAATAAAACAGAATTTTGATTGTCCATGTTTGAGTACTTCTGTTATTTATAGTTGCTACCATTGCTCTTATGAATAGATGTTTCTTTTCAGTTGTTCCAGGCAAGCTTGGGTCACTGAGGTTAAAAGGGCCATCAAGTGCGAATGGTACAGGTCGCGTTGAAGTTCTTTACGATGGGCAATGGGGGACAATCTGTGATGATGAGTGGGATGCAAAAGATGTTCGTGTTGTTTGTCGCCAACTCGGTTATCCTGATGGTATCAGAGCTCTTCGTAGGAGTCAGGTCCCTTCGGGTACCGGATATATTTGGCTAACTCGTGTCGCTTGTACTGGGGAAGAGCGAAATATAACAGCTTGTTCTCATGATGGTTGGGAAAACAACCATTGTTCACACTTTGAAGACGCTGGAGTAGAATGCAGTACAACAGGTAAAGTTATAAGAAATCTTTTTTATACACAGTTCGTGTCATTGTCTGGGCAAAAGGCATTTTCATATCTTTTCCAAATGAAGTATCATATACCGAACTTCCCCACTCAACAAAGTTCATGGCCAATGCTTTTTATTGACAGTTTGGGCTTTGAACCACTGTAATTTACCTGTAACTTTACCCATTTCCCTTAAATTAGCTGTCTTTAGTTTCCCACGCGATTGTATTTGTCTTCTTTTTACTTTTTATATAAGAATATAAGTGAGACTGATCAGGAGGGTCATTGCACTATGATTATAATTATTTTATATGCATGATTACTCTCTCCGTCATTCTTCATTTCGTTGCTTGTTTGCATTGACATATAAAAACGTGAAACGAGATGCTGCTTTTTATATCTTACAATACATTGTAATCTAGTACAAGCGATTACTACTACTGACTATACCAATACATCGTTTATATGAGTTTTTTTTAAACATGTTTCAATTACAGTTAATTATTATATAATAGTCAAGTAGGAACATTTTTGCAATGAAAATATTGTTGTAGTTCTTGTTATAAAATCTTGTACTTGGTTTACTTATATTAAAACTATTACGCCTGTTTTTATTAAAGAGGGTCTTGTTGGTCAGCCTGTGTTACTGAGGCTACAAGGACCATTCAGTGCAAATGGCATTGGTCGTGTTGAAGTATTCTACAATGGACAGTGGGGAACAATCTGTGATGATTATTGGGATATAAACGACGCCAGGGTTGTATGTCGTCAACTTGGTTATGCAGATGTGGTGAGAGCTCTTAAAGGCGACGATGTGCCATCTGGTTCTGGGCGTATATGGTTAGATAATGTCGCTTGCACTGGGAAAGAACTAAATGTAACAAATTGTTCGAATCTCGAATGGGGAAATCATGATTGCAGTCACTCCGAAGACGCCGGAGTAGAATGTAGTAAAACAGGTAAAGACCCAGAATTTTTCCCAATGAAAATTGATGTGAAACTTGCAAAAGACACAATTTTTCATTTTGACTCATAAGTTTGGAAAAAATTAATTTTTCATTTTGACTAATAAGTATGGAAATAAGCCATAACGCGGTAACGAGGCTCGCGGTCTGGGCCCCTCAGCTTTGTTCCCGTGTTATGGCTTATTTCCACGTTTATTGGTAAAAAAATCTTTCATACGTGTGTTGAAGAAGGATGTTTTGCATCTTTGCACGTGGCTCGTGCGAGTAAAACTTGAAATCCATTTCATTTCAGGTTGTTCTAAATTTAAAACGTTGCGATGTTAAAATTTTGTGACGTAATTAATTACCGAAAAGGTCTTTTGCGAGCGGGAAAGTCAGATGCCCTTTTTCATGTTATAAAAACTAATTTAAGCTAACAGCTTTGCTGACATGAAGGGTTAGGTTAGCAAATCATGAAGGTCCTAACCCCAATCTAAGCGAGGCCTAATAGACATTATAGGCTTAATAGATATTATAGGCCATATAGACCTACATTAGCCTCACTGATTTTTTAAGTAGAAAAATTCACTATTATACAAACAGCTGGAAAGAGTGTTGAAAAGTTAGCAAAATAGATTCATTGTATCAAATAAAGAGCTGCAGGTGCATGCATGTACAAAGTTGGCAGATTTTGTATGAGTATTACATTATCCAGTATTACACGTGAATGAGGAAGCTCTGTCTGTTCGAAAACGTTGTTCAATAGGGGAATGCCAATCTCAGGTCGAAAAAACGCATCAGCGATACCGCAATACTACTCTGACTATAATATTACGTTAAACAAGAACTAAACCGCTTTTTCCTCAATTCTACTGACAGGAATACCAACTACGAGAAGGACCAAGAAATTTAGGGAAGGTAAAACGTCTACTTGATTAATAGCTGAAAAACATAACCAAGAAATATCTTAAAGATTTCACTTTTACAGTTTTTTTTGTTTAGTCTTTCGTTCTTTGTTTTTCGTTTATGTCTTCTTCATTTTCCGGGGTCCATTAACGCCTCGTCAGCGCAGCTTGGCACATCTATACACGAGATTACTACCGTTTTCACGCACGTGCGTTTGCTCTCAACAAACGCAAATTTTTCAAATGTCAAATTAAAGCTAATGCTCCTTTTAAATTCTTAGAGACAACAGATTTTAGGAAATCAATTCATGGGACCGAATGGTATATCACCGTGGTCTTTGTTGTCTTAGGAATTTGCATTGGAACTTTCCTTTGTGGCTTTGTGTTGTGTTTTCAACGTCGTCGGGTAAGAAAGAGAAGATCTGGAGAAGAAAACCCTGCACAACAAACAAGTGATGTTGATACGACATATGAAGAAGTAAATCTTTCAAAACTGATAGCGACGAAAAGTTGTGAGCCTAGTGGGTCTGCAGACGACGAAGATGAATCAGCTTATGAAAATTTGAGTTTGAAAGCAAATGAACGTACACAACAAAATTATTATTGTAATAATTAAAAGGTACATAAAGAGCCTATTGATCTTTGGCTTTATACAACTATATGGGCCAGAAAAAAGGCGCTTAAAAGACGCTCTAATTAATTATTATGTAAGGCACCTTAAATAGCTATATTATTCTAGTCCACAACATGCATATATTAAGAAAACTGTACTGTGCGATCACAGCAGAAGAGAAAGCATACTCTGTATTTTATATATAATGCAATTTGGTAATAACAAAAACACGCACAATGTGTGACTTCAAAATGACAAATAACTGAATGCGATTACAAAGGAGAAAAATATATCGCTTCTGATCGGAATCACGCGAGGTGTTATTTCCATAGGTCTGCAAACTTTGTCAATCTGTTGCCCAACAGGATGAAAATAAGTTTAATGTAAAAGTGAAAACATGACTTCAAAGGTGAAAAACGAGCATGCATGCATTAGACACATGCTATATACATGAGGTTTCGATTGCCGGAAATTCCCCTTTCCGAGAGCTGAATTACCGAATAATTTTATAGTCCTCATGAGCATGCTAGAACTTCAATTCATGTACGATCATATATCGCTCTCACCATTATCAATTTTCACCTCAAACGGCCATGAAAAGTGATCCGGTGTAGCGTAAAATAGGCCCAAATTAAAGTGTCGATCCATCTAAATGAGATATAGAAAGAACGTACACACTCTTCCTAACGAAAATGGAAGAGTCCCATGCAAGCAGCGCGACAGGCCAATATCCGTTTTGACGAATTGTATAAAAGCGAAAAAAACCCATTGTGGGAAAAAAACCAACTTAGCAGGATGTTAGCTAACTTCGTCCTTGGATCTGGTGTTTTTATTCCTTTAATTTTTATCCTTTCCAAGTGCACAGGTAGGCGTTATCAACAGACTCCACAGAAAGGCTTTGCAATAGCTTAGTCCTGCCTTGCATGTGAATGGAGTAGCTACTAATTTAATTAGTTTAGCAAATGAGTTTTTATTTCAGCCCAATCGAATCAACAAACTGAAGATTTTTAAATGAGTTATACCACAGACTATAGTGCCCATTTCTACTTATTATTGTCTAATTCGAACCATATAATTATATCAAAGTGTATATCTAAAATCTATTTTTTTTTTCTTAAACGTGTACGTTCAAACAACGCTTTTAAAAACCTCTTTTGTGTATAGAAATAGATTCGAACGCGAACTTTAACTTTTGCAGGAACGTCAATTAGGTTACAAGGACCATCGCGTGCAAATGGAACAGGTCGTGTAGAGGTATTCTACAAAAGAGAATGGGGGACAGTCTGTGATGACGAATGGGATATAAACGATGCCAGGGTTGCATGTCGTCAACTTGGTTATTCAGATGCAATCGAAGCTCTCCACGGGTATCAGGTTCCTTCTGGTTCTGGACAAATATGGTTGGACGAGGTCGCTTGTACAGGAAGAGAACAAACTATAGCAAGTTGTTCACACAGTGAATGGGGTAATCATGATTGCTCACATTCCGAGGACGCTGGTGTAGCATGTAGTGAAACAGGTTTGAAAAAAAATAATATATAGCTAGACTTACTCGTATATAAACCCGTTCATGTTATTCATATATCCTTTCACTCAACAGAGCAATCATTATCTTTTTATACGCCTATATAATTAATCATTGAAACATGCATAATAACGATTACTACAAAGTTGGCCAAATTTGCCCGCTTTATAAGTCAATGTACAGATTTCACTTCATTGTGTGTCTGCAAACGTTTTTCAGCAAAACCACAGGCAGCCCGGTCACTGCTGTTACGTCATGCTGTGGCAAAACATAAAGATTTAGCATGAAATTTTATGTTCCATTCAACGCTTGAAATATGGCAATCGTTCAAGTTTTCTAAATGATGGATAGGAGTAATCTTTTTCTCTCTCTGTCGTATTTTCTGGCACTAAAATGGCCACATCGCTTGCTGATATAAATTTGCATTCAAAACAACGCTATCTTTACACTAAGAAGCCAGAGACTAGCCTAGGTCTAATTTTAGCCTATAGACGTTAGTAGTGTGAATGAACTTTGGTTGACCGGGCCTAACCAAAGGAGCATGCGCCAATCACAAAAGACAATATATTCTATAATCTTCTTGCAGAGTCTGGGTCACTGAGGTTACAAGGACCATCGAGTGCAAATGGAACAGGTCGTGTTGAATTATACCTCCAGGGTCAATGGAACAGGATCTGTGCAGTTGGATGGGACATAAGAGATGCTAGGGTTGCCTGTCGTCAACTAGGTTATCCAGACGCTATTATTGCTCTGCAGGAACCTCAATCGTCGTCAGTTTCTGGAGAAAGATTATTCTACAGCTTCCTCTGTACAGGGAAGGAACGAAATATAACAAGTTGTTCGACTATTAGATTTCATCTTTGCGTATTTACCACAGTTGACGCCGGTGTAAACTGCAGTAAAGCAGGTAAAAACTTCAGCTAATCTAAAATTGTTAGGTTAATGCGCACTAGTTCTAGGGGAAAAGCTGTTGCTTGCAACGTGAAAATCTACGTTATACTGTTTCGGCAGCCATATTAAAGGCAAGAATATAGCTACAACATGAAGAAAAAGTGTGTAGCTATAACACGTCTCTATTTCCCAACACAAGTTGGTAAAATTTACCGACATTGTGTCGGTAAATATAGAGGATAATAAAAAAGTGAGAGGTCTTAATGAGGGGTTTAAATAGAGGATAATAAAATAATGAGGGGTCGTTCACTTTCGTTCGTTTTCATGAGGTTTTGGAAGTTATTTTCGACTCAGAACAAAAGACCTAAAGGCTATAAACCAGGCTAAACTTTTCCATCGATATCTGCTCTACGTCCACCATAATGAATGATTGTCAAACCATTATGATTCATTTGTGCTTTTGAAAGAATATTGGAAATATTCTTACCATTGCACTCATAAATATTCACTATTATTAGTATTTAGTATACTATACAAAACTGCTCTTGTGATCGGATTTTATTTCAAGTTGTTGCAGGTGAACCTGGTTCACTGAGGTTACAAGGGCCATTGAGTGCAAATGGAACCGGTCGTATTGAAGTATTCTACGATGGGCATTGGGGGACAATCTGTGATGATGGATGGGATAAGAGGGATGCTGTAGTTGTATGTCGTCAACTTGGTTATCCGTATGCCGTCAGATCTCTCAATGGCTACCAGGTTCCTTCCGGTTCTGGATTTATATGGTTAACTGATGTCGTCTGTACTGGAGAAGAACAAAATATAACAAGTTGTCTTCATCGTGGTTGGGGAAATCATTCTTGTATACATTTTGAGGACGCTGGAGTAGAATGTGGCACAACGCTGACAGGTAAAGGTGCCGCAGAAAGTTATAGGTTTAGGAGGATGTTTAAGATAGATTGTTTTGTATTAATATACGGCCAATTCCTGCCGTCCATATTAAAGCCTTAACTTTGCTGCGAACTATTTGGCTTGAAATGTTTACTTTAGCGAGCATTTATTTCTCTATCACTTACATCTTCAGGAGTTTCCAGATGAAGACAAATTAGAGTTACTCGTAATAACAGAATATCTCAAATTTTACTTTTTATCGGTTTTATTATTTCAATTTTCTTATAGCAAAAATGTCATTGCTTTCATGCACAGATACTTTTTTAAGTTGCTGCAGGTAAAACTGGGTCACTGAGGTTACAAGGGCCATTGAGTGCAAATGGAACAGGGCGTATTGAAGTTATCTACCATGGACAATGGGGCACAATATGTGATGATGCTTGGGATATAAGAGATGCTAGGGTTGCATGTAGACAACTAGGTTACCCAGATGCTATAAAAGCTCTTCACGGGTACCAGGTTCCTTCTGGTTCTGGGCCTATATGGTTGGATGAAGTTAGTTGTACCGGAAAGGAGCAAAGTTTGATGACTTGCTCTCATGTCGGCTGGGAACACGAAGATTGCTCCCATTCCGAAGACGCTGGAGTGGAATGCCTAGTACCAGGTGAATAACTAAACAGCACCGTATTCTTATATTACGTATTACAGCGTGTTGTCTTTCAATGTAAAATAGGTTTACGGATTTTAGAATGCATTTTGATTTTAGAATTGATTTATATACCTGACAACATGTTCTACATAGTTATTAATATACCTGACACATGCTCTATATAGTTATTAATATGCCAGACAACATGCTCTATATAGTTATTAATATACCTGACAACATGCTCTATATAGTTATTAACATACCTGACAACATGCTCTATATAGTTATTAATATACCAGACAACATGCTCTATATAGTTATTAATATACCTGACAACATGCTCTATATAGTTATTTATTAACATACCTGACAACATGCTCTATATAGTTATTAATATACCTGACAACATCTTTAACTATAGCTAATATTCGAAATGTTCTGCGCGTAAATAGTCAATCGTATGCTTACTGAATGTGTCGAGTTAATCTCAACTGTATCGTGAAAACTTTTTTCTTCTCATAGACGAAACACCAATCCTAGTTGCAAGTCTTACACCATCTCCCAAATATAAAATATTTTCCGGTGATGCTAATCTTGTCAGCACTTACCGGACATCTATTTTTACTACGTCTACACGGAATAAAGCAGAACAACCTGGAAATTTTTCAAAGAGCTTTAAAGAAGGTAAAATATGAGAATATTCACTTAACCTATGATTATTCCCCATAATATTAGTTTAGAATTGAAAAATAGATATGAATAAATCAATAAATACTAGAAATGCATCCTTTTGTTGCCTTATTTAGTCTCTTATTTTATCCCTTGCCATTTCCAACCAGGGAAATAACATCCTGGGCTAGCCAGACCTATATTGCCCAAAAACTATTAGTTTATTAATTTCCTGACGACTTTCATTGGACATGTTATTTTTTTTCCGATTTTATTTAATGTAATGTTTATAAACGTTTTTGATGAAAAAGTTATTGCAAAACAATTTTTTTGTCTCAGCCAGTCAGAAGGTTGTTGATTAACGGTTTCCCTCGCCTTAAATTTCGAGCATGCGCATAACTAACAAAGCCATCCAGCGTCCATGACATATAGAAGTTAGAATTTCGCTTTGTTTTGGCCACAACACCCGCGTATAATTCCTAATCTCCCAGGGAAATAAGTACCCTCGCCGAGTAATACGACTAGCTTTTTCTCAGCCCTTCAATCAAATTTGTCTTCTCATACTCGATACGATAATATGCTCTTTTTAATTCTCAGAAAATACAGTTTTCAGGAAATCGATTCGTGGAACAGAATGGTACATTGTCGTTTT